ATGGCTTTTGATTTCCAGTTTGCTATAGAAGTTGAAGAAGAAGCACAAAACGATATTATAGAATATAATAAATTAGATACTTAGAAAAACTAAAGGGGTAGGACAGTTTATACGTGAATCAAGCCAGTGTGTTCTTTCTCTTTAGGTAAAATTCAACAAGCTCTTCTTCTGCTGGGTGAAATCGTAAACCCGGTACGTGGCATAAACTCACCCAGTTTCTCATCATTATCATATTTCTCTCTTCCCTGTCTTAAAAGATAGACCCTTGTTGTGGTTCCTATACTGTGAAAGATATATGTTCTTCTTCATTATAGTCTTCCTGCAATTAAATCCTAGTAAAATTACGGTTGATGTGAGCTGAACCTGCAAGTGAAAAGTTACTTGACGTAGGTTTTGATTACAGTTTGCTGTAGAAGTCGAAGAAGAAGTGGAAGAAGAAGCAGTGAGAGATATTACAAAATATAGTAAATTAGATACTAGAATATATTGTTATAAAGTTTAACAACTTTCTGAGTAAGATGGTACAAAGATTATAGTGTTAGCAACAAAAACAAGTAATTTGGAAATGATACATATAGAGATGAATGCATACATACAAGGCCATGTAGAACCCGAGTGTGAAAGAGGACACCATGATCAGAAGCAATATCAAAACGAAAAGGAATATTGGAATGACCATAATTGGGGTGTGATGAGGGAGGAAAGGAAATAGCAAATCGAGCTGAGAAGTGCACTTCAACTTCCACACCCATCTTGCTTCTATTGGAACATATATAGAACGTGAAAGTTGATACTATGCAAAGAGTTCTTTTCGAGTTATTGAAAGTCAGATACAGGCATAAATGTAAATGATAACTAAACGCAGTGCGTGGGGTTGCGTTGTATGGGAAATTTAGTTAGCAGAGCTTGGTTTCGGGTGATGATACACACCACATTTTCTATTCAACGTGAAAAAGAACATTTTCTATTGAGACGAATTAAGTATAAAAGTTAATTTTATAATTTTGAAATGTATACAAAGATTGAAAGGTGTATCTTTATAATTTAGAAAAAGTTAGTTTAAAAACACTTAATTTTAATAATATAATAATATAATTATGATTTTAAATTAACAAAATAATATAATTATAATTAAAATATTATTATTTATTCGTGTCTACCGCTGCCCTTATAATTTTACTTTGGATTTTTTCTCATAAAGTAACAAGTATCCATGCTGTGTGAACGGAAAGAGTGATGGAAATTTTGTCATTATGCTGCATGAGACAGAGTGTGCGAGTTCGTCATAGTTTGGAAAAGGTTCGTTTGGGCACAAAGGAGAGAAGTTTGACCAGTTGTCCCGTCACGTTGATAACCAAAATATTCAACGGGTGCGAATGAAGATCACAACAAAACTGTGTTGGAGATTTGGATGCAGCACACCAAACCCATATATCATAATACGAATAAAAATATTATTTAAAACATCTTAATTTTTTACATTTATTTAATATTATTTTTATTTTTTTTCTTTTTTAAAAGAATATAAAAATTTATATTTTTATAACTATTTTATTTTTATAGTCTATTTATCCTTATTTTAGGAATATTTTTAGTTATTCTCATTCTTGTTGTAGAACTAGGAAGTGATGCTCGAGCAACGTGAGATTTCTCAACAAGTTTATGTGTTCTAACTTGTGCCATTTGTTTGTCCCAAAAGTTGAGAATTGTAAAGGAAAAAAAAAGAGTCTATGTTGGAGATGGATTGATGGTGACATACATGTCGCTGATAGAACCGAAAAGTGGCGCCGGTGCAACCCCACCACATTGAAAATTGAAAAGTGGTGCGAATTATTTAATTAGAACACATAAACTTGTTGAGAAATCTCATGTTGCTGGTGCAACCATCAATTACGTATTTGAAGGATTCAAAGTTGCTTAAGTGTTTGGAACTTATATTCACGTGATGAAAAATAATTATGAGTAGAATGTCATCATCAATCCATTAAAATAGATGTTTTTGGAGTGTAGTTTCTGTTTTAACATCGGAAAAGTGATTTAGAAACAATGTAACAGCTTTAAGAGCAGATATAAAGTGTTTGAATGATTACTAGTCAAAGGTTAAAATCAATTAAATAATTCGCACTACCTTCTGCTTCAGTTTTCAATATTGTTTTCGAAAGAACTCGTCGAATAGAACAATAATTTATAATTTATCATCTCATGCAGCGTTAAGCCATATAATTTAACAACAAATGTAGCAAGTTTTAGGTTACAAAAATTTTTTATTAAAAGAAATATACTTTAAATTAAAAGATATTTTAATAGTTTTAAAATTTAATTTAAAATAAAAAATAAGAAAGTAGTTATTTATCATGACTTGTATTAATTATTTTTTAAAATTGAAAATAAAATAAAAGGTACTTTAAAAATATTTTTAATTATAATATTTTTAAAAATATATAATTTTTTTAAAATAAAAAATAAATAAAAAGTAGTTATTTATCCTTGCTTTAGGAATATTTTTAGTTATAATATTTTTAAGAATATATAATTTTTATAGTTATACGTGTATTAGTTATTTTTAAAAAATGAGTAGATGATTAATGTCATGCAACATCTTAGTAACAGATTTTTTTTGTAATTTTTTTTTATATTTTTATTTATATTTTTAATAACATTTTTTCTTTCTGTTAAAAGTAATGATTATTATCTCATGAATGTCATCTAAAAAATTAATTACTAATCTCATATATATATATATATATATATATATATATAACTTTTAAACATATTACCGAACACAAATTTTTGATGAAAATAATAATAACGAAAACTTGAGGTACAACGACACATATTTCAAGAAATAATATAAGAAATTAGGATTAAAAAAATATTTTCAAAAGTAGAATGCCTGACACACTATAATACACATGTCAAAGAGACCTTCAATAAAAAAAAAATATATATATATATATATATGGCGAAAGCTCGTAGAAGTTTGATGCGATAGATATGGAAAAGAATTTACACCCAATTAGGATGAACTTCTACAAAATAAAACATACAAGCTTGAAGAATTAACGAACAACCTTATACTAATAAGATGGAATACAACACACTTGAAAATTACTACAATTAATTCCAATGATTGTAATGAAAATGGTGTACTCTTCTTTTAGCTTTCTTTTTGTTTTTTTTCCTTTCCTAACAAGGTTTTAATAGGGAATATACTTAAAATAGGTACATTTCTTTCAAAAATATCTTCAAGTTACCATATTGAATCAAATGATATCCGACAACGTTAAATAAAAGTTATGCTGTATTTATAACAAAGTCGTACTAAAACATCATATCAAATTAATGGTTCAAACCAGACAACTGAGCCACCAAACCAAAGTTATTCGATAAGAGTTTAAAGCAAAATGAGTAAACATCATAATATTTATTTAAAGATGTCCAAAGCAAGCAATTAAATATCATGATAAAAATATTAGTCTACTCAAATTCATTCGAGATAAACGAATCATAAACTCATTCGTCCTGGAAAATAAAAAATAATAATTATAATCATTCATTTCTCAATGATAACTACTTGAACTTTGAACTTGAAAAACTTATATGTTTACTCAGAAAGTTGCAATTGAGCATATATCAATTGAAATATTTTAATAAATTATCACCAATACAATGTGTTATAAGATGATAAGAAACTCAATGTTTTTTTTTCTTATTTCATATTTAGGTTATGTATCGAAGGCCAAAATACTCTATAAAAACTCGTTGACTTTCACAAAAAAGCATCGACTTATTATTTAATATTCTAATATATTTTCTATTTTTACGTACAAAGCTCGTATACCAATTCCTCTTGGTTCATTTTGTAGTTTAATTTTTCGAAAGGCAAAAAATCTGGATCTGAGTCTGTAGAGATTAATGAGGTGAGTTAAGGAAGTCCATAAGTGCAAACTATAAAAGTTAAAAAGTTTAAAAGACCCACATTTACCAGAAATTTGACTGAAAACAATTTAATGTCTCATGTCTTCATTTCAGTGGGTTACGTTAGACTAATACTAAAATACAATTCAAAGTATACTTCTTATCATAGTTTTAATTTTAAATGACGACACAAATCATCAAACCCAGTCAATAACATTATCTGTGCTTCTAAAATTAGTTTTGTATTTCAGAACTCATATATACAAAGTTTGTATTAATCAGAATTTAAAATATAAACTAAAACTATGACCATTCAAACTAAAAGCTAAAAGTATCAGAGACAGTTTTAAAACTAAAGTATTGTATATACCTAACTCCATCTCTCCAAAAGAATTACGATTTTACTCCTTCACTTGATTTTAATACAGTCTTTCGCTATCCTTTTATATATGGTCAATTAAATGAAGCATATATATTCTTATTTTTGAAACATTTAGTGCACGATTTAAAGACTCGGAGTCATTGTATATAAAAAGTTATATGTTGAGAATTATTTGAATTTCATTAGATGTTCCATCTAAAACATATCTGAATTCTCGTAAAAAAAAATAAAATCAATATTTGTAAATTAAATTAAACTTTAAATTAACTTAGGCACAAATTATTCATAACTTATGGTCCTGAAGTTCAATTTTACACATTACTCTCGTAAAAGTAATCTCCAGGGTTCATTTACCAGGAAAAAAATAAGTGAGAAATAATAAACAACAAAATAAGGAAGTGATTTAAAATAATATGGCGATGACAAATAATATCCGAAAAGTGATTTAAAAACAATGTAACAGCTTTAAGAGCAGATATAAAGTGTTTTTATATGGCGAAAGCTCGTATCGGACATAGGTACCTAACCTTATATTGATTGTAATGGTCATTACAAGATATAAAGTATAAAACACTTTATATATGACCTTGATTGAAGGTCATTACGATCATTTTCATTACAATCATTTTTATACGTACTCTTCAGGTCATTAAAATCAATATCAGGTCATTTTGAAATAAATTGAATTGATGGGTCGTGAATGCTTAACTTAGATATTGCTTTGGTGGGGATATTTCTGGCATCTACACCTGTACTGGAGGGTGCTGAATGGCTGGTTATCATTGGACCGATCTTTCTCACATCGTTGCTTCTTTTTGTCAGTGGCATTCCGCTGCTTGAGGTTTGCTTCTTACCTATTATTTCATCAAAATTTATGCTATAACTTCATGGCTTTCCTGATGATGAATTGCATGATGGAAACAGGATTCGGCAGATAAGAAGTTTGGTAATGTAGATGGATATAGGATATACAAAACAAGAACAAGGTTAGTTTACCTCCATTTTATTATTTATTTTCTGTTTTAGTAAGGAGAAATATCTTTCTAGCCAATGGGATGATGCTATGTTGTTTTGTCGTTTAGAAAAAAGTGACTAAGCTAAATCATTTTCAGCCCTTTAATCCCATTGCCACCATCAGTCTATGGGAACTTACCGGCATGGTTCAAAAAAGCCCTTCTCTTGGAGTTTCCATTTTACAATCGTAATCTTCCACTAGAAGAGAACTGGTGAGATGCATTTTTAATTCCACCTGCATTATGCATTTGTGTATTTTTTGTACTCTACCATTTTGGATTTCACCAGCCTGAGTATTTTATATCATGAATTAATAGTCAAATTGTTTAATGATTTATAGAGTATCATTTTTTGGAAAGAAGAAAAAGAGTGACTCCAGATTTGTACCTTGAATTTGATGATTCAAGATTGCTCTGTGGATTAGAACAACGTATATGCCCTAGATCATATTGTAGGCATAAATTAATTCATTAAGAATGAGGTGACTATGTTGGAAAGATAAGTCATCTAAATTATGAAAGGGATTCAGAGTTGTATGTGTGTGTATATATTATCAACATATGTGCAAAATACAATATGCCATTGTTTAGGAAGGTCAGATGTTGTCTGTGAATGATATGGAACTGCCTTAAAATTCCTTATTGCGTCTCTTAATTGTAGGTGAGATGATATTTAACTATTTACTGTCTGCTCAAGGTGTAGAGGAAGCAGTGGGAAAAGCAGCGATGATCTGAAAATGGACTAGCACTTGGTTCTTTGAATTTGTTTGATTTCTTTCAGACGTCAGGCTCAAGTTGGAATCGCAATAAAAAATTAAATAATCTATTAATTTGTTTCTGATCGTATGCTCTAGTTCCTGCTTTCCATCTTCTATTGTGATTTGTTACTGGTTGTCTTACACATTTTAAAAACAGCTAAACAACCTCAACCAATCTTTTTCTCATACCAAAGGTGTTACAGAGATCAGATGACCCCGTAGTGTGTATTCATGCTCTAACCATGTCCACTACAAATTATTATAAAAAATGTTTATTTACATGCAATTCATGTATCAAAAATTGTTTATTTATATTACATAAATAATATTTGTCTCACGCGGTATAAACTATAATGTTAGTTGTTTTTTCTAAATAAAACAATAGTATAAGGCAACATTACCTCCCTCCCACGTTTTAGAAAGTTACGAGAGAAATGTTTTCACACGTTGAATCAAGCATAAACCCCCTTCTCACAAGTGTATGGAAAAGTCCACAAGGGTAATAAGAAACTCAAACCGCCACTGTTTTTATTGTGATTCTATTTCTACCTAGCTTTTACTTGGTCATGAGAAGTGCAATTCCACAGAAAATGGCGTTGCTTGGTGCATCCCCATCTTCTCGTTTCTCACCACAATTTGTTGACCCATTTACTCCATGTACCCGCAATGTTTACCAACTCCACATCCTCATGTATCTTGTTATGTTTTTGAGCTTAATATTTATTTTACTCACTGCACCCCACACTCACATTGATGCACCACACGTTTCACTAACATTCCCGCGTGTTTATTCACTTTTGGGCCTTTCTTGCCTGCGCACTTAGTTTTCATATTTTACTACGTGTACCCCACATGTTTACTTATTCACCTTCAACTCTTTTTTTTGTATATATAATATAAAAAAATTAAATTAAAAATTCAAACCAACACTCAAACAAATAATTGTTAAAAATTACGTGTTACTGATTTTTCACGATGAATGAAAATATGAAGAAACAAGGTTAGTACCTGACTAATTCATTTTAAAAATAAAAAATTATTAAAATTGTTTTTCAAATAGTTTTTCAAATTACGTAAACCTGAATTTTCTACTGAGAATATCAATAAATAGAAGAGATAACTAATCTTTGTCGACAATTTTCTTTCAAAAAAATTGCAGTTTTAATTTCTTTTGTACAGCATTTTATTATTATTATTTTTTGAGAAAAATCAATATTTTGCAAAACTATCTCTTTTGCATGTGTGATTAAAAGTAGCAGGGCAGGATGCTAACCGTTTTTTAAGTGTAATCGACTTCTAAATTCAAAATCCAATATCATAAACAAATGTTTTATCTTTATAGTTTTTCAAAATAAATTATGACAGTGACTATTTTCTATTTTGATTTTTTTTTTTGCCTTACTATTTGGGTTTCCACACAGTATAATTTGTAATTTCTGTAAACCAGCAATAGCATTTCCATGCNATATATATATATATATATGGCGAAAGCTCGTAGAAGTTTGATGCGATAGATATGGAAAAGAATTTACACCCAATTAGGATGAACTTCTACAAAATAAAACATACAAGCTTGAAGAATTAACGAACAACCTTATACTAATAAGATGGAATACAACACACTTGAAAATTACTACAATTAATTCCAATGATTGTAATGAAAATGGTGTACTCTTCTTTTAGCTTTCTTTTTGTTTTTTTTCCTTTCCTAACAAGGTTTTAATAGGGAATATACTTAAAATAGGTACATTTCTTTCAAAAATATCTTCAAGTTACCATATTGAATCAAATGATATCCGACAACGTTAAATAAAAGTTATGCTGTATTTATAACAAAGTCGTACTAAAACATCATATCAAATTAATGGTTCAAACCAGACAACTGAGCCACCAAACCAAAGTTATTCGATAAGAGTTTAAAGCAAAATGAGTAAACATCATAATATTTATTTAAAGATGTCCAAAGCAAGCAATTAAATATCATGATAAAAATATTAGTCTACTCAAATTCATTCGAGATAAACGAATCATAAACTCATTCGTCCTGGAAAATAAAAAATAATAATAATAATCATTCATTTCTCAATGATAACTACTTGAACTTTGAACTTGAAAAACTTATATGTTTACTCAGAAAGTTGCAATTGAGCATATATCAATTGAAATATTTTAATAAATTATCACCAATACAATGTGTTATAAGATGATAAGAAACTCAATGTTTTTTTTTCTTATTTCATATTTAGGTTATGTATCGAAGGCCAAAATACTCTATAAAAACTCGTTGACTTTCACAAAAAAGCATCGACTTATTATTTAATATTCTAATATATTTTCTATTTTTACGTACAAAGCTCGTATACCAATTCCTCTTGGTTCATTTTGTAGTTTAATTTTTCGAAAGGCAAAAAATCTGGATCTGAGTCTGTAGAGATTAATGAGGTGAGTTAAGGAAGTCCATAAGTGCAAACTATAAAAGTTAAAAAGTTTAAAAGACCCACATTTACCAGAAATTTGACTGAAAACAATTTAATGTCTCATGTCTTCATTTCAGTGGGTTACGTTAGACTAATACTAAAATACAATTCAAAGTATACTTCTTATCATAGTTTTAATTTTAAATGACGACACAAATCATCAAACCCAGTCAATAACATTATCTGTGCTTCTAAAATTAGTTTTGTATTTCAGAACTCATATATACAAAGTTTGTATTAATCAGAATTTAAAATATAAACTAAAACTATGACCATTCAAACTAAAAGCTAAAAGTATCAAAGACAGTTTTAAAACTAAAGTATTGTATATACCTAACTCCATCTCTCCAAAAGAATTACGATTTTACTCCTTCACTTGATTTTAATACAGTCTTTCGCTATCTTTTTATATATGGTCAATTAAATGAAGCATATATATTCTTATTTTTGAAACATTTAGTGCACGATTTAAAGACTCGGAGTCATTGTATATAAAAAGTTATATGTTGAGAATTATTTGAATTTCATTAGATGTTCCACCTAAAACATAACTGAATTCTCGTAAAAAAATCAATATTTGTAAATTATATTAAACTTTAAATTAACGTAGGTGCAAATTATTCATAACTTATGGTCCTGAAGTTCAATTTTACACATTACTCTCGTAAAAGTAATCTCCAGGGTTCATTTACCAGGAAAAAAATAAGTGAGAAATAATAAACAACAAAATAAGGAAGTCAAATGAAAATAAATGAAAATTAAAGATAATTGATGTAAAAGTAAGAACATGGCACATATCACATAATTAAATCAAAGAGTATATGTAATTGTACAGTGTCATCAAGTACGAGGTTCCAATGCATTACACAGACGAATCAATATTTATTAACAATTGTATGATAAAAAAATGGAATTTTTTTTCTCTACAATATTCAAGGGATAATAATTTCAGAACTACTTACGGCGGCCTCTTTTGTTTTTAATTCTATGGTCACAACAGAGCTTACATCAAAGGCTTATTCTGTGACCACGTCTATTGCTAAACTGTACATACAAAATACTTATTGCTACTTTAATTGCGTCAATACTTTTCAACTGTCATCATTAGATCAGCCATTGTGTCAATACAAATAGCAGGATGTTGCTCCTCTGATGGATTCCCTCCAAATCCAATGAAGTTTCACAACGTCAAAGATATTTAGTTCATCGAAATAGGAAGCTATGAAGTCCTGTATTTTTATGGTCAAAGTGTGGGGCATGCCTGCATGTCAACTGCTGATGTTTGATATATTCTGGCGTTCCAAAACATATCCAATATATTGAGAACCTCATAAAAGTCGCAGTGAATGAAACAAAAATAAAAGACACATCGCAACACAATCAAACTCCTCCAGTGTTATTAATGTTCTCCAATGAGATCTGGGCACCAGATCTGCCCACATTTGACGGGCCCGAATCTGATGAAAGAATATAAAACACCCAGAAATGAAGGCAAACAAGATATATCAAAGCCCACCATTTTGCAGTTGTGTTCCTTTTCAGAAAAAGTGCACCGGTCACAAAAATATGATCTAATTGTTGAAGTAATGATCCAAGCTGTCTCTTGCCAGAATGAATTCTGGCTTTTAGCATAGGGTTCAACTTTGAATTCGAGAGCTCCCATAATCCTGATTCTAAGTCACTGGATGAAGAAGCACGATTCATATTTGTTGAACCTGATGCCGACGTGTTCTCATCCAGCAACCTTGACACAGCCTGCCAAGTTGATTATGAAAATTGAAAATTAAGTATATGCAGTTTCAAGAATTAGTATCATAGCATCAGTAAAAAGCATACCTCGATTCTGAACATAAGACTTGCCTTCTCTGAAGAGAGTGATTCCACCTGTTGACAAGCAGAATAATTTGTATGAAATTTGAATAGGTAGGGGTCAAAAGAAACCTTAAGAAACTCGTCTTATTTTGTATTTAAATGAACTTTTGAAATATTTCTGTTGGTCTTTTAAACTGATGAGTTCTGAAAACTGGATCCGATAAATTAGTTGGCCATTTTGGTTTTGACTGCACATGGGTTTTCAACTGCTAATGTTTTCAGACAACACCCTTAGGACTGACTGATCAGATTGACTGGTTCTGCCCTAAATTTAAAGCAGTGTTCCACAAATATTCACACATTGTAAAGTCACCTAGATGTATTAGAAGACGAACCTTTGCTTGTTTCTGTATTAAATGGTCAGTCATTTGTTGAAGCCTTTGCTTGAGCTCAACTTCAACTTCTGTTGGCTCTTCCATCTCTTTCCTTGTTATTTCAATGTCAGCTTCCAGCTTTCTTGCCTTTGATGGACAAATATATCAAATAATTACACACTGCAAGAGAAAATCATATTAACTTCACAGACACAAAGCTATCTATAATAATACAAGAACAAATGATGCAGATATAAAGAAATAATTCATGATAGCATAGGATATCTTATCTTCAAATTTGCATGGAAATTGACTAAAAACTTGCAATATATGTAAAAGAAATTAAATGGTTCCTTATAAAAAAGGATGCAGATAACGGAAACTGAAATATACAGGTATGACTATTTCGAAGACTCGTTCTGATAATTCCCATATTTGCTTTTTAAAATATAACTAAAAAATAAAAGAAAACCTTATCCAATAAAAAGAAGAAAAACAGAGAGACACCATTCAAGAAAGAAAATTCTACGCAAACTACTAAAGTCATGAAATACATTGCACCCGAAATATCATAGCTCTTCAAGAAAAATAGTTTAAAAACCTTACCTTTTCCTCCAATTGAGTAACTTTATCATTGATTAAAGAGTGCTCTGCCTCAAGAATTTCCCGTTCAAACTCCACACCTTTCGAAGCTAGCTACAATGTTAGCATAAATACACAAGATAGTGAGCATAGAAGTTTATAAGGGAAATACAGGATCTAACAAAATAAGATACTAGAGACACACCCACTTAAAAGCCCCCCACTTGGAGAAGTAAACAAAAGACCAATGACTCAATGTCTACCCACTTCAGCAAATAATCATATAACTTACTTGATTTTGTGAAGCTCCAGTTTGAGGAGGATTCTTCATTCTCCTTCTGAGATCTATAAACGGTTAAAGGATTAGCTCATTTCAACAACTGCCACACACTAACCAACCCAATTTGACAAAATAATGATACGCATAGCTATTATAAGCAAGGAACGGCAGAAAGAAAGACATTAGGATTACATAGTCTTTGTCAGACATATTCTTGAGTAAGAGGAAGGCACATACCAAGTTGATTGGTTCCCAAAATCCCTATAGCAGCTGAGCACATATTTGCTTTGATTGCAAACCTAAAATGGATTCTGTGCACCTTTTTTCCACTTATTCACTACTAACCACCTATTCATCAGTTCCTTGCATAATTGCATATGCCTAAATTAATAATTGATTCTGTGCACCTTTTTTCCACTTTTGCTAAAATCTAGTTACTAATCTTAAAGAATAAAAATACATATTCAAAGTAAAATGAGACAGCTATGACGTATAGACACTACACTGGCAGTAGCAAGTCTCATAAAAAACAACATAATATTATACATTAGAAAGAAATGATGTACCAAATAATGTGAAAATAATAGGTTTAGTACCTTCATGAAGCAACTCCTTCGATGAGATTTGTTGTCTAAGTTCTGCTACTTGTTTAACCTGATAAAAACACGTAAGAAATTTAGTAAACCTTTCCAGATATTTATGACGACCTGAGGATCAAGGAACCACAGAAATTTAAGCAGCATATAATGTTCAGTTTGGCTCATTCAATTTCAATATACTGGAACTCATTCTAGTTCTTGCAAAAACTAAATTTTCAATAAGAACACGTTTTGGGAGTTGATTGGTTCATTCAGTTTAGTTTTTCAATTTCTAGTTCCACTAACAGGGTTAAGTTCTTCAGATATATGACGCTGACCAGCTTCACTATGCTGGTCATATTAAATTATTAATCATCTTATTTATTATGTCACCACTAATTTTGGGTGATCATAAGTCATCATGAAATTAGGACTGGAGTCCAAATCAATGAAAGAGGTACTAGCAAGCAACTATACTTTTCTATTCAATAATTACAGACCTGCAAAAGCTTACTTTCTGTTGGATCATATGGAGGGAAGTCACCTAAGAATTTAAATATACCTCAATTTCAAGGTTCCACTGCACAGCCGCTAGGGATCTTGCAAGATCAGCATTGGCAGTCTGCAATCAATCCAAACATTTGTCAACAAGCTTATGTCGATATCTTTGTGCAAAAAAAAAAATATAAATTATTTACAGAAAGGTACAGTAAGTTATTCTATCCTATAAAGTATAAACTAACGGTTTGAATTAACATACCTCCAATTTAGTTAAACGTGCAAGAAATTCCATTCTAGTATTATTATGTTTCTGCTTTTCTAACTCAACAGCTTCCATCGTTTCCATTGCAGTGCTCTGAAGCTGTGAAGCCTAAAGCAAGGAACAAAAAGGATTACATAAATAACCAATAGATCATAAACATTAAGTTACAAGAAAATTCTATACTATGGTAGCATTTGATAGACGTGTTAGAACAGGATATAACATAAAATGTGGTTTCTATTACATGTTTTGTTCATTTTAAAAACAAAACAGAATAGGACATTGGACTAAAAAGAGTGGTGAATTTTGATTCTACTCAGAGGGTGAAACCATGAGAAGAAAAGCAGAACATAACCATTCTACTTTGTTCTATCTGCAAGCAAAATACTGCCTATGGAGTTTGACATTTTAATTTTTCCACCAAATGACCAAAAGCAGAAAAAAAAATCAAATAATTTGTCAACATTACCTATAGGCTATATCCTATAGAAGACACCATGTTGAGTTTAACCAGGGTATATATATATAAAGGTTAAAAAAGCAACACAAAGATCAGTTCTTAAATTGTAATTATGTTACCTCTTGTGCTTGTTCTTTAGCTCGCTCCTCCAGTATTTTCTCTAGGGTCTGCTTCTCCCCCTCTAATTTGGCCACCATATTTTCCCGTTCCTTGATAGCGTTTATAGCTTTAGCTGCTGCTTTTTCAGCCAGAATCCTTTCCCTCCTCTTTCTCCTTTCCTCCCTCTCATGCTCACTTTCAGAATCAGATGTTGAACCGGAATCAGTATCTGAATCAGAACCTCCATCGCTAGCCATGGGAGAACCCCTTTTCAAATCGTCAGATATAGAATTCCCAGAGATTGAATTAAGCTCATGCCTTTCTTTTATCGCACTTCTCAATTGACTGCCATCAAAATCTACCACAATCTTAGGCTCTTGCACCTTATCAATCCCTAATGATGGTATTGTTTCTGCAGCCAAAGTTTGGTCGCCCTCCTGCAACGATTCTGGTGGAGAAGTGTCCCTATAGTTAAACCGATTCTCATTTTCTTCTTTTCCATTTTCCTCGATCACAGGCTTCTCAGAACTGCCCTCGTCGGAATACTTCGGTTCTTTACCCCATTTACCATCAGTCTCTGATTCTACATCCAAATTCCTCCTTGTTGAAGTCGAAGATGTAGATTCCTTTCCATCATCAGCGGCTTTTCCACTCAATTTAACTTCTTTCACATAGTCTGACTTCTGAAAGGACCTCGGACCACTGTTGCCACTTCTTGCATTCCTCCTCATATCGGACACCGACGAAGCTGAAGACAAACCCTTCAGCTTCCTACCACTATTTTGCCTCAAAACACGAGGTGCGGGCACCCCATTACCCTGATTGCTCCCAGAAGCAGAAGACTGAGTAACTATGGGTGCATTAAGGAGTTCAGTCCAATCATCGTTAGTTAAGGTAGGGCCAGATTTGGTAGATAGTTTTGGTGCACTGGCTGTAGCTTTAAGGCCATTAAAATTAGGATCACTGCGAAATTTTCCATCATAATCACTACTCTCCGAGGGTTTCTTCTTCAATTGATCCTTCAGAGACACACCAATCCCTGATTTAGCGGGAGCATCAATGTTCGGTTCCTCGGATCGAAAACCCTCGTTCTTGCCAAGCGATTCAGCCGCTTGTTGATCGAGCTGAACCGTCCATTACAAAATTAACAAATGAATATATTTCAAGATAACATAAAGAGAACTAAAATAATCATAATCGCGCTATACATTAAAATTGACGAAGTAAATTACAACTCCTATGGCTAGGGATTCCGAAAAGGGAAAAATGGAAAAGAAAATGCAAAGCATTGTTATGGTTAGACTTGCCTGGTGGAGAATGCTCTCTGCGGCTTTAAGTTTGGAGGAAATCCAATTCGCCATGGCTTCAGAGAGCGAGATGAGAGGGAAAGAAAATGTCGCGTATCCACAATACGAACGTGTATATCGAAACGCGGCGTTCCAAAGAGTTTACGCGGGTGAAGAAGAGATAATTCAAGATGACGGTGCTTTTCAGGGCGAGAGATCCATGATGCTGGTAATGATGAAGAAGAAGAGGGCCATGAAAGCTGCAAAGAAGAAGATCGAGTGAGAAAGTTAGAGTGACACGCGGGTCATGGAACATGCTTTCTTGGGCCAATCAATTTTGAGTGAATTGCACTGCTTCGCTTTGGGTCCCACTCAACGTACCAATGACTTCTGCTTCGCAACTACCAAACAGTCCAAACTACCATCTACCGGGCTTCAACGCTGGGTCTTTGGAGCCCATTAAAGTGTAAAGTCCGGTACAAGCCCATATCCTTTATTCTAAAGAAATTTCTTTTTGCACTCCATGTTTTTCTTCTACATCTTCATAAATATCAAAAGTTTTTATGTTTCTCTTTGGTTTAAAGTTATTTTCCAATTATGCAATTCAAAACTTTAGAAAAAAATATACCAAATTATATTATCCACAACATAAATTTAAAACATATAAATGAATATAAATTTCATTTTAAAGTAGATTTGTAATTTATATTTATTATCTATTAAACCTATCATATCATCGGTTGTGAATCATTCCAAGCTAAGTTTAAATTTCCACAAATTTGAAATGTTCAGAAAAAAAATATCTTATTTCATCGGTTGGGACATCGTATCGAAATCCATGACTATTATTTAGAGCTTGTGGCAACAAGAAGCGCAGTTGCCGTTTGTGTTGCAGCTTTCATCTTCAACTTATGAATTATTTCTAGTATCAATTTTGACGGTGATCATGACTTTTTGTTTATCAATTTTGTTCCTTATTTCTGTTTTTTATTTTATAAAAAAAAAACTATATTAACTGTTCATTAAGGAGTGTTATTATAAAACATGACCTTCTGGAAATGGAAGAGTTCGTGCGTAACCTGAGAGGTTACATTATCCATAAAAAAGTACATGAGATTACGCCAAAGAAAAAACTAGCTGTAAAGAATTAAAGAAAAACGTGTATGATATAAAAATCATCATTTACAATCTATCAAGAAGTCACCTTTCGTGTAATTTAAGAACTAAATCGTCTTCACCATGCAATGAAGAAACGCCGATAACAAGATGAAGAAACTTTGCAAAGTAGAGAAAATCGGAAGAATGAATTACTGAAAGATCATGGCAAAAATTTTCCCAGGAAAAGTCTCATCACGAACAGCAAGAACTAGGTTGTCTGGTTGCAGTGACTTCATCAGCAACATGAATCTCCTTCCCGTTCAGAAGATTAATCGGTTTGTCGTCCATTTTTGCTGCCAAATTCTTCTGCCTTGTCATGTGATAAATCCTTGTGATCATTTGCAAGAACACTTCCTCAACGTTGAGATTCTTCAAAGCAGAGGTTTCCATGAAGCACAACCCTTCTGTTTCAGCATACCCTTTTCCTTCTTCTTTCTCAACCTCTCTCGATTGATCCAGATCGCATTTGTTTCCCACAAGAACAACCACCATCTCTTCCCCTCCGAACTCTCTCAGCTCCAATAGCCACTTCCTCACATTCTCATAGCTTGATCTCATCGTTATATCATACACCAGCACTGCCCCCGAAGCCCCTCGGTAGTACGAACTCGTGATTGCTCTAAACCTGCCACAAAGTTGTATCATATCATAACCATGCTTTTTAGACTGAATTATATCACATTTAGATTTGCTCTTTATTTTAAGTCATGCAAGATTTGGTCATCTGATAAGGTAAAGTTGTCATATTTTCTTGTTACCTTAAATATAAATATAGGTAGGTGATGTAAAAAAGGGAAATCGGCATCCCTATGAGTGTCTAAGAATCCTTAGATAATTGGAAAGGAGAAATGAAATGTTTGACCATGTGATTGCGCACCAAAATCCTACATTCATTTCTCTCAATCACTTTCATCATGTTTTCTTTCTGTAACAAAGCTCAAACATGTCCATGTCTAGGACCCACATAGCCTAATAGTTACGCTATATAGATTGCATTGCATGATCAAACAGATAAAGAAAAGAAAACTTGGTTTCTACACTTACACAGCCTACACTGACCCATGCTCATTATTCAACTCTGCTGCATAATATTTCTGCCTAATTCATTATGAGAATTGAAAATGCAAGGAAAAGAAGAGGGCATGTAAAACCCAAAGGCAAAAGTAGTAATCAATCACTGTTCCTTTTGTTAAATTTTTCGAACAGATCGAAAGTTACATTCACTCACGGAAAAGGAGGAAATTACGACAAGGTTCCAATAAAGCACCAACCTTGGAGGGAGAACATGTTTTGGATTTTTTAATGATATATATAAGTACAGTCTTAGTTTTTGTTCAAAAGTTTATTTACTCAAATACATACAAATCCAGGCATGGAATTCAATAATGATAATGTTAGTGTTTTCAGGGTCCCACTGAACGGATTCAAGAGTTATTCTTTCCTAATTTCATTATCCCACGTAATTAAACCAGTACTCAATTGGCATTTGGCAACCACGACATTTTTCAATCATCAAATCTCAGAGATCATCACGGATGAACAGTTCAGTTTAAAAAAATACTAAAATATTTGGCCAAAAAACATGAGCAAACGACACAGAAACTACACTTGTTTAGTTAACAAAGCATAACAGAGAAGTTCATTGTAATTTTCATATTCAATTCTTTTATGTTAAGCAAATCCAATGAACACCCACTTAGAAATCCAAACCCGGGTTTATGTAACCTCAACCTCGTCAAAAACAAGTTCCATGGTCGTGTGATCTACTATATATGCAACCGAATTCTTAACTACGACCTCAAAACACAAGAATATAATATAACCGTTACTACGAGCTGATGAAACAAAATGAGTATGATCAAAACATTGAAACGATTGAAGAAAGAAGGGAAAACATAAAAGTTGGAAGTGATGAGCAATTGAAGAGACAAGACAACATGGTTGTTTCTTTACCTTTCTTGGCCTGCAGTGTCCCATATTTGAGCTTTGATGAGTTTGTCTCCGACCTTGATGTTCCGGTAAGCAAATTCAACTCCTATTGTGGGTTTGGAATCCAACCTGAATTCGTCTTTTGCAAACCTTGAGAGCAGATTCGATTTCCCAACTCCAGAGTCTCCAATCAGAACAGCTTTGAAGAGAAAGTCACACTCTTCATCGAATGTATCAGCCATGAATATGACCCTTTTCAAATGATCTCTACCTTCACCAGTGTGAGAAGAAAAAACTCAACCATAAAGAAAATGAAGATGATGAAGGAAGAGAGTTGAAATAGGGTGCAAGGTCATGATCATATTTATAGAGTGCTAGAATGCAAAACAAAAGGGCATTAGGAGTAATAATAATCTTTGGTATTTTATTTTGGAGGGTGTTGTATGAGTATATTTACATGTGAAACCATTGAAAAAGGCATTAGGAGTAATAATCCTTGATGTTGTCTATACCTATGAGTGACATTAATCAAGTGGAAGAGCCAACTATGGTTACCTCCATCTTCAAAGAAGGTCCAATGGTATTGTTCCATCTGTCTCCATCAATCTTTTCAGTATAAAGTTTGCCATTTTTCATGCCTATGTGGCCTTTCAGGATTGGCAAACCCTTGTTTCTGCACATCATTCATGAGATTGGTTATAGAGTGACATTGTTTAGATCATGATCATCTCAAGGAGGTTAAAAATATAATTTAACAAGGAATGATCATAGATGTTTGTGGTTAGGTACCGTTATAATCATCAAATCAAAAGGGGTTTGGAATAATAATAATAAAAAAAAATATAACTCTATCTTTGTACATCTGTTCATTATTGAAAAGGAGCACTTTGTATAACAAAAAATGTTCATTACGCCACAAGAAATTAGTGCTAACAAAAGGAAAATGAACACTGGAACACAGAAGATAGATATTGAACTTTTACATTGAATTCCATTTTTATATACTTCAAAATAGTCAACGATTCAAGAAGCTAAATGCAGATAAAAGTTATTAATTAACATTTAATATAACGTACCAGTACTGAATATATTTAGACGATAGAAGTTTGAAGTTAGCATTTAGATGGTTTGTTAAATAAATATACATCAAACACCTGTTACTATATGTTCAGAAAGTAAACTATGGACAAATTTAGTCACTGAGTCAATACAACAACCTTAATTATGCAGATGACTTCATTACAAATTATCAATATTACTCGATTTTTTAATCTTAACGTTCAGAAGGCTAAAATAAATAAACCTTTTATATTTTAAATTTATATATAGCATATCTATTATGCTATGCTTACTCGTAGTCTCCTAGTGATAATTGATTATGTAAAAAACACACATATATATTGAGAGAGAAAGAAATTGTTAGGTTTAAAAAATCATTTTTAAAAAAAAACTAATAATAAATATAAGCTATTCTTATAAAAACAAAAAATTATACAATTATAAAAAAAAAATGTGTGTTAAGTAAATATATCTTTCCGTAGTTTTCAAAATCGTTTTAACATTTGCTCATTTTGATAATTTTGTGTAAATTTGTTTGAGTTTTTAAAAGAATTTCTTTTTTTTTAACACAAAAATATTTAGGCGTTTGTTTAAAGTTACAAAAACAACATCAATAATAATAATAATAATAATAATAAAATGTTTAAACCAACTTGTGAAAAGTTACTTGGAGTATTTTATTAAAATACGTGAAACTTATTTTTAAAAATATTAAAAAATATATGTTTAATAAAAAAGTTTTTATAATTACAATAAAATATATAATTTCAGAATAACTATTTATTTTTATTATTTGAAAAACATTATTTATATGTTTAAACCGACTCAACCATTCACTTGTCAAAATAAATTATAATATACTTATTTTTAGTATGTCTTTTTAATTAAAATACCCTCTAAAAATATAATAAATAATTTAAAAAACTATTTTCCCCAAAACATCATATTTCTCTTTGCACCCTATCAAAACTTTCGGAAAATATTTTAATGTTTTAACGTTTTCTGTAAAGTAAAATCTAGACCGATGGGTGTAAAGAGAAATTTGAGGAAAAGAAGCAACAGTCAATGAATTCACTTTATTCAAAAAACAGGCTTAGTAATTAATAAGACTTTTACTTTCTGCAATCCATTAATTTTTAGGTACATAATCATTTTCTAAAATGATCACTCTACCTTTCAAAAATTGATCTCCAGATTACTTGCCAGATATTTTTCAGAGCAAACTTTCTAGATCAGAATTTATAAAATAAAATTGGTATAGTGGGATCTTCTTAATAAGCTTTCTATAATTGATCTATGTAAGACGAACTGTATTTACCTTTATCAAATTATTTCTTAGTGATTTAAGAGGTTTCTAAGAGATATAATTGTAATTGTTATTAAATGAGAATGCTGTATTAGTAATTTAATAAGTAATTGTTACCAATTAGTTATTTAAGAAATTTTTATATTATGCACTTATAGTTGTTGCCAAATCATTTTTCTACTTTAACAATTCAACTAACTTTAAAAAATATTTATTAAAATTACTTCATATTATTTAGTCAAAGACTTTAATTGATAACTGAAATTATGACTTTGAAGAATTAATTAAAACGTGCTTATAGAACAGTATTAGCATTTATTATACTATAACTTCAACATTTTATAATTAAATATTTTTAATACGTTTGGTTTGATTTTTAAGAGACCATTATTCACTGCAAATAGTAATTATAGTGAATTATCAATAAATTATAAAAAAATATATGAAAAAGAAACATATGTACATTCAAACGTGAAGAAAATTTCCTGTATAGAAGAGACTTTCTTAAAACTTAATCAACAAATTATCATTACTTAGAGATGGAGAAATAAAGAGTAATTTCTCAATATATTTAAAAAGAGGATTTTATAATATATATATATATATATATATATATAATTTTAATTGCAATATTTATAACAAATTGTTTAGTAATTATATAATTAGTAAAGGTGATTAAAAATTTATTTTTCATTTGGAAATGATATCGAGATTAGGATGGATTAAGTACGGATATCTGTTTAAATGCTATTTATTTATAATCTGATCTGTAACAAAAAGTAACAACGAGAAAGCATGAATATTTTAAAACGCAAATCGACTGAATATTTTAAAAATATATTTTATAAACTTTAAAAAAAAATTAAAAAAATATATATAATATATAAATTAAATTAAATGTAAATCTAATTTTGATTATTTTTAAATTTAACTTAATAAAATATAAATAAATTTTAATTTTAATTATATTTAACTTAATAAAATATAAATTAAATTTTAATTTTAATTTTTTAATAATAAATATCGAATACTATATCCGATTTTTTTATAAACAATTATTAAGAATGTTTACTACCATGAATAATAAATATTTTTTATATCCGAATTATTAAAATGTTTATTACCATGTATAATAAATATTTTTTATAAATGATTTTTTATTAATCATTTATAGTGAATTTTATCTATAAATATTTGCCACAAATTTTATCCGTATAAGGGTATTTTTTCTATCCCTAAAGAGACCACCATATATTAAAAAAAAAGTAAAATAGAAAGTGTCCACGACACATCTTTCCCGTCCACTACCATTCAACTCGCTGCTGCCACTTTCCGTGGCCCTGTTATCATACTTTCCTTTTTCCGTATACAAATATTTAATTTAAATTATTGTCGACATTAAAACAACTCATAATCAATTCACGGCGTGATCATTGTGGAAGAACAAATCATCGCGGCGTGTTTCCGCATGCCACAATTTCCTCTTCACAGCTCACCATTAGCCAAAGAATCAACCGTTACGACGTGATTCCACAACCGCAAACACACGGAGGTTGGCATTCTGGAAGAATCCAATTGTTTATCGCCGCTTATCACGACTTACAACATAATTCATTGAAAACGTAGTAAGCAAAGTCACGAAGCTAAATTGGAATTCAAACGGAGAACATTGGAATAATTTTTCACTTAAATTTCTAATTCTAATTCTACTCAGGGCGATTGAACACATAATAAATAACAGAACGAAGGGAAAAGTAATGAAAGAGCACAAGAGGCGCAGATCTACGAGTCAGAGGTTACGGAAAGAAAGCAAGAAGCTGCTAATCTATTTTTCTTCAGCAAGTATTTTCGCGGTTGTTGCTCATCATGCGCTTGAACTCCGCGAAGTTCACGTTGCCGTCGCCGTCGGAATCGACGGATTTGATCATGTTGTGGCATTCTTCGGTGGTGCAGCTCATTCCGAGGCGGTTCAGAACCTGGCAGAGCTCGGTGGCGGAGATGAGCCCGTTCTTGTCCTGGTCGTACATGTTGAAGGCATCCTGGACCTCTGTGTCGCCACCGTCAGCGGTTTCTGCGCGGTAGAACGCGGCAAACTCGGAAAGGTTAATGAAACCGTCGTGGTCGGTGTCGAGGTCGTCTATGACGCCCTGGAGATCCTCCGGCGGGACGCCGGATCCAAGGGAGCGGAGGACGTTGTCCAGCTCGCTGACGGAGATCTTGCCGTCGCCGTTGGTGTCGAAGCGGTTGAAGACTCGCTTCATCTCGTCCATGTCTTGGAGGTAGACGGAGGATTTGTTACTGGCGTCAGAGTTTGGAGCGGCGTCGACATTTCCCGTCGCAATTGGATTCGAGGCCATCTTCTCCAATAAACAGAGCTTTTTTATTTTTGTTAATGAATAAGAGAAGGTTACCGAAATTGGTGAGGTGAATGGAACGGTGCCATTTGGGCCCTTTTATACACTGCTTTTCCTTTGAAATTCGATTTTTGTACGTGTAGACTGGACCCACCCTTGACGGAAAAATCCTTCATACTTTTAAAAAATTATTTTTTATTTTTCACATAAAATATTGTGTCTTTTCAGTTATCAAACATTTTTAAAAGCGTGCTTGTAACGTAAGACAAGACCATAAAAATGTTTGATGAAAAATAAAATATTAAAACACATTAAAAGATAAAAAAATTATTTTTATTAGATAATTCAAAATTTTCGGTTTATTATATTTATCCCTTTTTTTCGGTTATGTATAATGTAAGATAATAAAAATTAACTTTGATATCATGATAATCAGCGCGCAACAACCGACGGAGATTCAGTTTTAGATTGCTTTCAACTGGGATTCTATGTCGTTGCAATTGCAATAGAATCAAAAATAAATCTACAATGGGTATTTTGGAGTTATTTAATATTTTCTTATCAATGGGTATTTTTTGCTTAAAAAGATTACCAGTGTTGAAAACAATCCATTAAATGTTAAAAAATAATTTTGTAATAAAAAATATAATATGCATTTTTCGATTCCGGCTTCCTTACTTATGTTCTCTTTATTTCAAATAAACTTTTAAAATCTAAAAATAATAAACCATACATTATTTAAGGTATATCTTATTTAAGTTTTAAGTTTTTTCTCTTTTATTTAGAGTAATGACCTAATTGTGTGAAAATGTATTTTGGAGACTTTCCTAGGTTGATGGAATTAATTGGAAGGTTGTGAAGAATTTTTTTAGATAATGACAAGTAGGGAAAGTTAATATAAACATGCAAATATTAAGACATGTGTATAATGAATTAAGTATGATGATATTCAAATTGGGTTATATTTTAGTTGAAAATTACTAATTTTAATAACATTGTATTTTTTTAATTATGATATTGGATAAAAATACATGTAGATACTATCATTTATACGTACTATTAATAACCAATATGTTTGCTGTATTATTAAAGGGATCATAAAAATAAAAATACAATAATTACGTATACGTATACCACTTTAATTACTCAAATGTTAACAAGTGTTATTAAATATTTGTTAACAGTTTTTAAGAAAACAAATCTTTTTACTTTTATAAAGACATACTGTTATTAAATATTTTTATTTCTAATAATAAACAAGTTATTTTGTGTCACTTTTGGTACGTTTAATTATTGCCTCTTTTAACATGTCGTTGTTGAACACTAACTATCATTTTGTCTTCATTACGCTAGTTTGATGTATTTTTTTGGCTAATTTAATAGAGTTGTCTTTATCTGGACATTGTGGCATTATCTTCTCCAATATAATTGAGGTTGAATTATTTTATAACGAAAAATATATTCTTCACACGCTAATTTTTTTATATTTATTTAATACTATTTTTATCTAATATATAAAATTTTCTGCTTGAATTCAGAAAATGAAATAATTTTAAAATTTAAGAGGCTAAAGATGGACTAATCCCACATTTTAAAAACAAAAAATACATTTAAGTAAATTAATTTTATAGCAGTGGAGAAGGTTTTGTTTGATAAAGATTTTACTCACTTTAATGATTTTCTTTTGAAAATAATAGTTTTTTTCACTTTTTACTAAAAACTAAAAGTGGAACATAGCTTTGATAGACAACCACTCACTCTCTATGGTAGCTGGTATTGATTTTAGGAATTTCTTTTTTCCTATTAGGTTAAAATTTTACTTTTACTTATTAAATGAATATATATATATATATTATTTGTTCACTTTTTAAATATTATAATCAAATATTAATATTTTTTTCTTAAAATAATGTCTGCCAAATTACATTTTTTGTAAATAAATTGTAAATAAACTTGGCAAGTGTTATATATATTTTAGCCAAATTTCAATAAAGAAAACTCACTTGTATTTGTTAATTATTACTAAAAATTTAAAAATTTAATGTTATTTTGACTCTGATATTTTGGGACCAAATAGCCGACGAGGCTGCTTGTGGTTCGTGCTAATCTAGGTAGACGTGTGACCTGAAAACAATTCGTAATGTGTGCAACTTTTTTTTATTACTTTTTTATTATTTTTGTATTTATTTATGTCTAATTCTGACGGTAAATAAATATATTATTCGTGGCCGCACTCCAAGTGCGACACGTGGCTTGTGAACACGGCTTTAACGCGCAAGTAACTTTAATACGTGAAAAGGATATGAAAACAGGTTTTTCTTTTTCGTGTTCTTATAAAATAAATAAATTCAATTATTTGACAAGTACCATTTTTAAATTATGTAATGTCGGTAAATGTACCAAGAAAATTAACAGCAAAGTAATTAGTAGAAAATAAAAATACAAGTTTGGGATCTTAGAATAACTATTTTAAGACTAGCTCGTGTATTAAAAAACAGTGCATTAAAATTTCCCAAATATAATCTATAAAAAATCGGAAAAATTAAGTTAATAGAGTTTAGGAATAGCAGTTAAATCACATCGTGAACTTGTATTTATTTTTTAACTATGTCAACTAACTTCAATAATCTAATTAAAAAGTAATATATTTTCAGATAAGTGGCACCAAATAATTAACTGAAAAAAGAAAAAAAGAAAAAACCTGTAACATTGAGAACGTGTGATGAGCGTGTGTTTTCTGATTTTGATGCAATGAATTGCAGAATTTTTTTTGTGTTTTCTGTTATAGGAAAAGTGGAAAATCACGACGATTACATCATTGTTGGGTGACCACCATAATAACAATAACGTCTCAATGTAGTGAGAGAGAAATGAAATTTTGATATAAATACATTTTTACATTTATTTAATATTATTTTATTTTTATTATTTTTTTAAAATATTAAAATTATTTTTATTTAACTATTTTATTTTTTATAATATATATGAAATGGATGTAAATATGGTATTATTTAAAAAGATTGAAATACATTTCTCCTAAATCTTTTCGAATAAGTGAAGTTTTTTTTAATATAAATTTAACAATGGTTTGGGTCACATTATTTTGAATATTCAACACCAGCAAAAGAAAATCTGAATTTATATCAACAATGCAATTTGTGAGACGTGCTGCCAAATCTTGTGGCTAGCTTGAGAAAATAAAGAACATTCAACTTAGAAGAGCAGAAGAAGTCCTTTGTATTCTAGAAGAGAAGTTGTTGGTTTTAAGAACAATTCGCAGGTTTTCCAGTTTCTAAGTGTAGCCCCTAAACTACTCATCTGACCCTTATCAACCATGAATTTAGATTCTATTGACAGAAAGTAAAATCCAACAATGGAGTCCAAAGTTGCTTTTACTTTTTACACTCCTCTAAAATGCTATTTTCACTTATTGTATTAGTTACAAATTTAAAATAAATTTATAAATTAACCAAGAAACCTACCGTACATTCTTTAAGTAATTTTTTAAATATATAACAAAATTAATTGTTAATTAATTTCCCGCACTTATATTTTCACACATAAGTCCTTACAATATTAAAAAAAAAAATCATGACTTTGGAAATTGGAATGATATTTCCTAGCTGATACTTCAAATTCCAACTATGATTGATAGGTTTGAATAAGTATGAATCGAAATGCTTGGAAATGTTTTTACCATAATCAATAAAATCCACATGCTTTATTGCTTAAGAATCCATTGTTGAATCCCCATTTCTGTTTTATTTGTGATTCATATTTTCCTCACATTATGCATTGATTCCTCTAGTGTTAAGGAAACGAGAGAAGAAAATAATACTTTTTAACACCTTTTGAAAAATACACTCACTTAGCAAATAACCCACTTTAATAATATAACAATGTGTATTAAAATTTAAAATTTAAAAGTAGAATAAATACGGCTAAAATATTATTACCTGTAGTAGTCTCTACTTAATGAGATCAAAATGCTACCATCTATATTGAATTATTAATCAATTATGGCCCAATATTTCATTAATTTGAATTTTTAAAAAAATGTACCCATTATTTTAAAAAGGGTCCGGCACTCCTAAGTGGATACGGGCTGTCCCAACGCCATCGTTGAATCATTTTATTAAGCATCTGCATCACATTTTTAAAATGCAGACACACAAAAGTACAGACATGTCAAAATGTCTCTTTAGTTTGTTAAATTGATTAACAAAATCTAAGATCTTATCTAATTTATTCAAGGACAAAAACAATCAGTACTATGTTAAAAATGAACACTACAAACGACCTTTGAGTGGCTAGAAACACAAAGCAAAAACAGCTACTAATTGCTGTTTTAGCCAAAGGGGCAGATATACACCCCATTGGCCATTATTGATGAACAGTGTATTCTGCAAGAGCTCAAATACTGCTAATTCATAACATCGACAATCTGTCATCGAATTTATGTTCATAGTTTTGTAGCTAAAATACGAGGGTGACATTCACGAATTAAGAGTTTGCAAAATCCAAGTACATCAGTATCAATCTCTAAAGCCAAACAGACAAACCAAACACCAAATTCGCGAAATAGACAAATCACACGAAAAAAGTACACATCAATAATAGAACGTGGTTCCCAATCATCCACCATACATCGAGCACATCAGGTAATAATAATATTCATCAAACCAAAACCAATTCAAACCATGCAACAGTGACATGCCATATACCACATTCTGTGACACAGATCGAAAATGAATTGCCAAATATGGGAATACACAGCATAGAGCATGGATAAAAAAAAGGTATTATACTAAAAGGGGAATACAAAATAAAAAAAAGATGACAGGGAAGCAGTTAAAGTGGTAGGTGAATAGTAGAGAGAGATCAGTGGCGATGAGGGCAGAAAGTGAGCAAATAGTTAGCTTTGGTGCAGGTGGCGATGCTGGTGGGGTCGTCGTAGGCGTATGAATAGGCCTTTGGGCAAGCGGTCTTGAAGATCTTCGAATAAACGGTGGGCTTGCAGGCCTGCGGGCTTCCGTAGGAGCCCGTGCAGCAGTACTTGGGGGAGTTGAAAGCGGAGCAGGCGCT